CTTGAGAGAGAGAGAAAAGAAATGAAATGTTTGTATTTTTGAAACTGAAAGATAAAAAACGTTTATTATATATATATATATAAAAAACTAGACCGCAATTACAAAATCGAGGGTGGAGGGCTTGTCTTGGTGGGCGCATCTGGACGCTCTATCCCTCCCAGGGGCCAGCGTGCCCCTCACCCTTCCTGTCTCCCTCTTTTCCCCCCCATGCCAAGCCCGGTGGCTTAAAAATAAAAGGGGGAAGAGAAAAAGAGAGAGAGAGAGAGAGAGAGAGAGAGACATATTTGATCAAACCGGGAGTTGATTTAACAGTGGAGCTTATCCCCAAAAAGGCATTTAGTCAAACTGGTTGAACCAGGCTAGGACGCCTGGGGGGGTGGCAGGGAAGATGAGCGGGGAAGGGAGGGGGCAGGGAGGGGGCCAGACGCCCAGTCGACGGAGGGGGGTGGTGGGAGAGATACATTTCATACTTGGGCTGCTGCACTTTCCAAGGAGGAAAACGAGACGCCATTGTCCGTCATCCTCGACATACAAATCACGCAGCATCCTGTTTAGTGACAGTTCAAAACTTGCCATGTGGGTGGGGGGAGAAGGGGGCATTAGGACCCATTTTTTTTCCACACTTAACGACCGTCGCAGCATCCCCCGGACCCAAAATTCGGAGGCTTGGCGACCGACTCGTCATTGATGACGGCTGCGGTTTTCCGCGGATGCTCCTTTGGGGCGAGCCAAGTCGAAAGGAAAGTCCAAGGGCTCGCTGAACGACGGTGGGATGCGCTTAACGCCCCCCCACCCACCCACCCCCGAAGGGGGTTCGCTCTGCCACGATGGCGAGAAAGGTCGTAAGATGAGGCAAAGCTTGCTGAACGACGGTCCTGCTTAGCGGCAGAAATGTTGGGCTCCGTTGTGGGTCAAGGATGGCCTGCAGTAGGCCGAGTTGCCTTTTTGAGTGGTTTGTTACAAGGATGGGAAGGTTTTGGGTGGGTGGTCTTTTTGGGGGGATGGCGGTCTTCGAAGCGGTATTCTTTCGACCCGAGATCGCCTTGTGGTCCCCCGTCCTGATGCCACCCTGGTCAGCCTTTCAAGGCCAGCTAAGAAAAACTGGGAAGGACTTTGAAGCATTTCTACTTTTAAGTCAACCGTTAACTTTTAAAAGAACTTTTAAGCTGGATGGACTTCAACTCCCAGAATTCCCCAGCCAGCTTTTGGGAATTCTGGGGGGGTTGAAGTCCCAACTCTCTTCGAGCTCTCCAGGTGGAAAAAACACTTCCCAAATTCGTAATCTACGCGGGGGCGAAACAGAATAAAAGAGGAAGTCGCGATTCCTCGGAGAATCAAAGCCAAACTTCACCGTCCACCATCCCCAAACGGCCTGGACTTCAAAATCCCAGAATCCCCCTTTCTGCAGAGAGCGGGGGACTCTGGGAATTGAAGTCCCCTGCCTTTGCAGGGCCCCAAGTTCGGAGAAAAAGCCCACCTCTTCTCCCCTTTGCCTTGGAAGGAGGCGCGGGTCTCCAAATCCCCGTCTCCCTCGTTTTCATTGTTTTAATTCCAGCCTTGTTGCTTTTTTAAGGTGGTGCAAGACGAGCGGCTGCCTCTCCGTTTAATACATCAGCAGAAATAGAGAAAACGACCAGATCAGAAAAGGCCACGTTGACTGTCCAGTGAATCCTCCAACACTGGAAGTCTTTAAGAGGTTGGATAACCATTTGTCTGAAATAGGATAGGATTTCCTGCCTGAGCAGCGGGTTGGACTAGAAGACCTCCAAGGTCCCTTCCAACTCTATAATTCTATTCGATTCTATTCTATTCTACTTTACTCTACTCTCTATTCTATTCTATATTCTATTCCTATTCTATATTCTATTCTATATTCTATTCTATATATTCTATTCCTATTCTATGTTCTGTTCTATTTTATTCTATATTCTATTCTATTCCTATTCTATATTCTATTCTTATCTATTCTATTCCTATTCTATATTCTATTCTATATATTCTATTCCTATTCTATATTCTATTCTATATATTCTATTCCTATTCTATATTCTATTCTATTTTATTCTATATTCTATTCTATTCCTATTCTATATTCTAGTCTATATTCCATTCTATTCTATATTCTATTCTATATATTCTATTCCTATTCTGTATTCTATTCTATATATTCTATTCCGATTCTATTCCTATTCTATATTCTATTCTTTCTATTTTATTCTATATTCTCTTCTATTCCTATTCTATTTTCTATATATTCTATTCTATTCTCTATTCTATTCTATTCTTCATTCCAATATCTATTCTATTCTCTATTATCTTCTCCTCTCTTCTCGTCTTTCTCACATGGAGGAAAACTCTAGGGATGGTGTGTGTGTGTCTGTCTGTCTGTCTGTCTGTCTGTCTTTAAATCCAAGCTGCACCCCCCCCCCAAAGACAGCCCATTCCACAAAGGGCCCGTGCATGGAGACCCCAGACTCCCCCCAACAAAACCTCTCGGTCGCCCCCACCCCACCCCACCCCGCCACACAACACAATTTGCCCGCTTGGGGGATGCCACTGACCCTTTTGCCCTCGTGGGGTCTGTGTGTGTGTGTGTGTGTGTGTCTCCAAGGCAGAACCGAGGTCCGGATCCCTCCGTCTTCCACAGAACCCCCTCCTTTTCGGGGGGGGCAGAACAACCTCCTCTTCCCCCCCCCACCTTTCCCCCCCCGCCCCAAAGCGTGGGTCACCCGCCCCCCCGCCACAAGGCAGGGCAGGAGGGGAGGCAGGTGTTGGGCAGGCAGCCGTGCCCCGCGGCTATAGGCACAAGGAGGCGTGGAGGAGGAGGGGGGGCGGCCCTTGGGGGCGGTGGAGGAAGCTGACTGGCTTTGCGATTCAACAAACACACGCGCTCGCTCGCGCGCACACACACACACACACACACACACAAAAACCCTTCCCTGAGGCTATGCGCCGCGCCACCCTCCCGCGCAGGAAGAGCAAACATACAACTCCCTCCTGGGCCCAAGGAGCCTGGGCGGACACCTGTCGAGGGATATTTGACAACCCCCACACGCGCACGCAGACGCACACACACACACACAGAGACGCACAAAGGCAGAAAAATAAACTTTCCCTTGTTTGCGCAAGATTTTTCAGCGCCCCCCCCCGCTTCCCCCGTCCAAGGAACGGATTCCGCTCCCCACCCCTCCAGAGGTGCATGAATGAAAGGAGGGAGGGGAGGGGGGGGAACTTTGTCGGAGGAGGCACCAGAGTTGTGTAAGAATGAACACACACACACACACACACACCTGGAGAGCGCTCTTGAGTCAACAGCAGATTAGAGCCACACGCCGCAGGGGCCGCTGCACACGCCTCGAAGGAGCAGGGGAGGGGCGGGTTTGGGCATGGGGGGGGGGTTGCCAGGGAAGGCCAGGTCCCATGCTCCACTGATGGAAGACACACACACACACACACACACACACACACACTCATCTCCAAGCAGCTGAACCACCCCCTCCCACCAGCAGGAGAGGAAGGTTGCGGATAAAAAAAAAACACTGGAAGTTTTTAAGGGGAGGTTGGAGAACCGTTTCCTACCTAAGGAGGGGGCTGGACTAGAAGACCTCCAAGGTCCCTTCCAACTCTTCTCTTCTCTTTTCTCTTCCCTTTTCTATTTATTGTTTCAATGTCTTTTCTTCATTCCAATGTCTATTCTATTCTATTCCTACATTCTATTCTATTCTATTCTATTCTATTGTTTTCTATTCTTATTCTA